GAAGACGTCCGGTACGGCGGCCCATCTGATTCTTTTGTTTTGTTTTTTTTTTTTTGTTTTTCCCCCCCCCCCCCCCCAGCAGGCAGCCTTAAGTAGAAACCCTGTGAGGTTCATTATAAATATGTACATATAATATACTGCTGTTATGTGAAACATCTCCAGAGTTAAGAGTATGCAGCAAGGCTTTAAATTCATCATGTGTGATGTAGCAACTGAGCAACGGCCTTTGTTTATGAGACTGGGTTTAATGATCATCATTCATCACACCAGTATTTGGGATGTTTTTTGTTGTTGTATTTTGCATTTGTATTTGCGCTTACAATGAAACATTGTTGATTGTACATAGTGTACAATATGGTCAACACAATCTTGAATACAAGACTTAACAATTGCCTTTGTTCACTCCAATCTTTCTCCCGTGATAAGCCCAGTGCATTGTGATTGGCAGTATTTAAACAGGAATGATACGACAGGGGTGAGTCTATGTACCGCTGGTTAACATCACTCACAAAGGATGACACCACTTTCGCAATGCAAACAAAAGGGTAATTTGCACCTTACTGTACTGCTATTATTTTCTAAACATTTCCCATTTTAATAAAAGTGAAATCACTGCTGCGTAATCACTCTGTGTTTTTATGGGCAAAAGGCTGATCGTTTAACTGAAAGCCAATGAGAAACTCGACGTTCTCGCACAGAAACGCGATTGGTAGCCACACTTCCGCCCCTCTGGATGTCACTTCCTTTGAATTTCAAAGTAAAGTTAGAGTAACTACGTATAAACGTAGTTTGGGAAAATGTGTTGAATTATATTGACAAAATCATGATATACTTAATAAGGAGGGTTTTACACTATTTGAATTTTCAACAGTATTATTTAAAGACATCGAATTAAGTTAATCACGTTTATTTTGAAGAGCAGTTTTGAAAGCCAGCCTTTAGTTGGTTGGCATAAATACACAAAAATTGCGACAAAAAGTACCGTCGCATTCATGTCTAGGATAGCGAAGGCGATGTCAAGTAAGTGTGTCTGTTCTGTTGTTATGCCCGACAGTCTTACTTTGTATCTAAATATGTTACTGAATGTCAGGTCGCTGCATGTTTTAACATTTAAACCCGTGTTATTACATTCTTCTGTCTCATCCGGACAGTGACAAAGTTCACTCCCGAAACACATAAACAAATATAAACGGCGTTTTGTTGTCGCTGCTCGCAGAGTTCCGGCTTGCCGTCATCCAGCTGCAAGTGGGCAGCGTCAAGGCGGACAACCTGAGCCGCGCCAGGAGACTTATCGACGAGGCGGCGGGACAAGACAGCAAAGTGGTGCTACTGCCGGTGAGGACTTGGAATGAACCGTGTGGGACACCGCAACATTGTCAGTATCATTAATAATTCATTAAACACGTCGTTCCTCAGTGGTTACTATTGCGCATGCGCGACATAAGCTACGAGTACAAATATGGCCTTTTCAAATCACAGGTACACGATTTGTCCAAGTAGGTTATGTCGCGCATGCGCAATAGTAACCACTGATAAGTTTAATGATGCTGACAAAATACACGAAAAACGCAATACACGTCACTGTCGTGTGAAAAAACGTATGCCCTTTTTTTGTCATTAAAAAAAATCTACATTAATGGGACTGATTCAGAAGCCCTGGGCAGTTTCGAATAACATGGCAACACAGAGAGGCCAAAATCTGATTGGACAAAAACTCCTGTTCAACCAAGTCAGAAACGCTATGAAAATTAAGTTTCTCTATTGTGGACTGTTGGCAGTAAAGTAGTAAAATTTGACATTGTTTCATTTTCATGAGATATAATTGAATAGCTTTTAGAACACATTCAAAGAAAGGTAAAATAAAAACTTGCAGGAATGCTTCAATTCGCCCTACGGGAGCAGCTTCTTTCCCACCTATGCTGAAAGGATCCCAGGAGAGTCCACGCATCTTCTGTCCCAGGCGGCCAAAGACAACAAGGTCTACCTGGTAGGAGGTGAGAACCTGCCAGCTAACGATAATCTACCCCAATTTACCACTTGGTAGTCAAAGTGCCATTGTGTAATTCTAAGATTGTGAACCATTTCCTCTTGTACAGGATCCATCCCCGAGGAGGATGGAGGCAAATTGTACAACAGCTGTCTCGTGTTTGGACCTGACGGACAACTCCTTGTCAAACACAGGAAGGTACACGAGTGACATATTTGACACACACACACACACACACACACACACACACACACACACACACACACACTGTTGTTTCTCCCCTTCAAGATCCACCTGTTTGACATCGACATTCCAGGCAAAATTCGCTTCCAGGAGTCGGAGACACTGAGCCCAGGCAACACTTTGTCCATGTTTGAAACACGTGAGTGATGTTGATTTATTCTAACTTGGTATTTGTTCCTGCTCTTGTTTATTTTTCTTTTTTTTTCCCCAATATTCCAACGTAATTGATATGTACTCGTAGCCTTCTGCAAAGTGGGCGTGGGAATTTGTTATGACCTGAGGTTCGCCGAGCTGGCGCAGCTCTACAGCAGGAAGGGTGAGTGTGTCGCCAGAGTCAACATTGTCGTTGTTTCCAGGAAGAGCCGAGGAAGGGTTCAGCTTTAGTGTGAATGCAAATGTCATGAACTTTTAAGATGAAATTTGTGTTGAGCAAAAAGGACACAGCACAGCACTAATCACAACATTTACGCAACTCTGACCTATGGTCCAAGTCTTGTTTTGGGACTGCTTCGCTACCTCATGGCCTGGACGATTTGCTATCATTGACGAAAAAGCTCGTTTATGAAATTCTCGAAACTTTTCGCAAGCAGAATCATGTTAAGGTTCAGAAAAAGGATGTTGATGCTTGGCTCTCTTATTTTGTGAAAAGTCTGAAAGTTTTTTTTTTTTTTTTTTTTTTTTTGCTGGTCAGGGTGTCAGCTGCTGCTCTACCCAGGAGCCTTCAACATGACCACCGGTCCTGCCCACTGGGAGCTCCTGCAGAGGGGCAGGTCAGGTTTTTAGTGTACAGTGGCACCGCGATTTATGAGCTCAATTTGTTCTGTAATGAGCGATGGTGACGCAACAAAAATGTGATTCACTTGTGGTTTCCCGCACTGCAGGGCTCTGGACAATCAGGTGTACGTGGCCACAGCTTCACCCGCCAGGGACGAGAGCGCCTCTTACGTGGCCTGGGGTCACAGCACTGTGGTGAACCCCTGGTGAGACGTTACACTCTAGTTTATTCTAGATGGACGGAACGCAGCACGCAATGTTTTTTTTTTCTCGACGTTGAGGCACCTCATGATCACAAGCATACAATTATTTCAATGGAAAAGAGGGTACACAAAATGAGTCACGTGCTGCTTCACCAAGGCGTTGTCTTTTTTTTCCTTCAAGGGGGGAGGTTATCTCCAAAGCCGGAGCAGAGGAGGCTGTGATCTACGCCGATATCGGTGAGCGTCAGCGGTGATACCAAATGCTCGGCCTCCCACCGATAGTTTGTGCCACGACAAAGCGGTGAAGGCCACGCCCTGATTTCAGACCTGGAGTACCTGGCCGATGTGAGGCGGCAGATCCCCATCACGGCCCAGCGCCGCCATGACGTCTACGCCGTGACCTGCGCGCAGGGAGAGGCCAGATGATGGGCCGACAGAGACCACGATGATGAAATGGCAACCGCGTCTCACTTGTGATTGATGTTATTCATCATGATCCTTCGGAACGTGTGAATTGAGCAATATGATCACGCAGTGTTCGGTAAAAACTGAGCTACCTTGACTTTGAAGTGTCACAACTTGGGAATTTTTCAAGGCACAAGCTGTCGCTTGACTTTTTCTGGAGCAGGCTGGAAGCCATTAATGCTATTTCAGTGAATCAATGAGCAGCATATTTACTTTATCTCCAGGAGGAATAAAGTAAAATCTACATATGGATTTAAATTAAAAAAAAAAAAAAATCTTATGCGTTAT